TTCTTGATTTCGCGCAGAATGTTGGAAGAAAGACACGGAGACATAACACCGAACAACATAGTTGGGGTAATGATCTCCAGCGCAGAAAAGTGGAAAGCAGTTGCGAGATACGTGAATTTCGTACTCCGCTGCAAACGAGAGGACGGTTGTCTACTGAGGACACCCGAATGAAACGCCTCTACAAAAGAGGCTCTAACAGCGCGCTCCTGCATCTGAAGACATGCAGAATTGCGGTGCCAGATGCGGGATTCTTGCGCGGGCGGTGGGAGTTTGGGTTTAAGTGGGTAGCCCAACACGCTTCGGTGGGAGTCCCACACTCGGGGAAGGTAGTATAGGGACTAGCGCCCCCGGCCAGTGCATAAAGCATTTCCCTCTCCTACGAAAAAAAAAAAATAATAATAAAAAATAAAGCATGTGTCTCGCTTTATTTTCCGACATTCGGCTGTCTTATAGTCACATTTTATAGGCATGTTTTCAAATAAGGCATTGGCAAAATATTTCTTCTCACTCTAATAAAGCATCGTTCACTCAAAATCGGTAAGCATGAAATGGGTTATATCTTTTTAATAGGTTTTCAGAAAATAATATTTAATATGTTAGAATAAAGAGAAAACATTCCGTTATAGATACATGTTAGCGAGAGTTTCATATTTTGCTTGGATAAATAAATAAGAGACAATTTCTTTGATAATGGTAAAAATTTTCTGAACACCCGTTCTAGAGACTTGTGTAGTCAACTTGCTCTACTAAACTATCTTTAGTTTATGGTTTTCCACGGCTCGCACATCTCTACTAATTTTGTTTTAAATAAATACCATGTATTTTTCGATTTGACTTAAATAGGTCATATTCGTAAATTGATGACTTCCAGAGCTTTATTCACATCACTGGCTTCAAACCGATTTAAAGTTACCTGTGAATAATTAGTTTACATAAAAACCCACCAACACTTTGCAAAAGGTCCAAAGTAAATGATATAATTAAATAACACTTTCTGCAAGCGCTCCTTCCAGCATATTTCTGGGGTCATATGACCCATTGTGGAGTCTGATCGAGTTTTAATGAGACTGCCTCGATTCTCTTGTCATTTCATAGCCTTTTGACAACTGTGTCAACTTCTATAGATTTAGATGTAAGAGGATATCACCCTGTTTCTTTTTAGCTTAAAACTTTTAACGTGGGAGTTGACCGAAGTCCAGTTTTAAACATGTTTTATTAGTCATTATTATAAAATACCACATTTAGTGCGAACATTGGGGGAATGTAAACGGGTGAGGTTTTTGTTATAAAATGTATTTAATCTAACAAAATTTTATATATTATAACTCGATAAGGTTTAAGTCTTGCCATAGCTTGCATTCGCTGAACTGTGGATAACCGTTATCCAATTCTCCCGCACGATCTTCTTCTGATAAGCAATTTTTTTCCTAATCCAGGTAAAGAGCCTTATCCTTAAGCTGGTGCGAAATGATGTCTTTTAATGATTAGCTCACCCCGTTAGTTTAAGCAGAAGGAATCTATTCATTGATTTTTGGAGGATAATTATAAGTTTTTGGTATATTTAATTTAATTTGATTTCTGATCTCGAAAATGTCGGATTTTCAACGAATTTGTTCAACATTATTTTTTTGAGCAGCAACTTCAAACGCGAATAAAACTGTCAAATAAAAAGCCAGTACTGTGAAATTTAAACCTCATAATGGTAGATCTATTATCTAACGATCTGCATTGCAACTTTTTAATACATTCCAACAATTGCTGTACGGAAATTGCTGGAACGCGTACCGATTTTGAGTGAACGATGCTTTATTACTTTACCTTGGTTATACCATTGGAAGTGGAATTATTTCCACCATGGGTGTGAGGTGCATGCAATAACACCATACGCAATAATTGGACATCAAAAAGCAGTTTCAGAAGTGAACTAGTGTCATTTTATTATTATTCTTTTTTCTAAACGGTTATAATGACATCAGTGCATAATTGCGAAAGGAGGGGAGGGGCGGAGGACGCGAACGCGACGTCGAACGTGGGCAGCGCGGGTGGCGCGGTGCGGCGCGCGTACGCGAACCGTCGTGACGCTGGGCACTTTCAAAATTGTATACATACAAATCCGTCCACTTAAGTTGTTATATACTACTTTTTGTCAAATGTAACTGGGTGACTACCTACATATGTGCACTATTTTGCTTTATTACTCAAATTGTTAAGTTTAAAAATTGGTCTTATTGCTCAACGAGAAATGAAATAAAGCAAATTTGTGTTATTTCACATTCAATTGGGAAATAAAACTTGCGTTATTGCCGTTTGTGTTGTTTCACCCCCCCCCCCCCAATATCAGTATATGTATGCTTACATACATATGGACATATTTATATCTACCCTGATTTCGTTAGGTGGTTCCAAACCATCGTTACTTGGACTAAGTTATAATATCATTGTACACAGGTATGGTGCTACAGTTCAATAACCACTATTTAAACATGAACTTTCAAAATATAATTTCCGTTCTTACCTTTTTCCGCAAATGTGATGATTTCCTGCGTATCACCGACAAAATCCTCACTTTCGTATCGATTCGCATCTTTTGACATTCCATAGTGCTCTTGACGAAGGTTATATTCATCCAGGTTTTCAGCATCTAAATAAGCTTCAGTTTCATTATTGTTACTATAATGCGAAGAGTGATTCATTTTCCCGATGTGGATATCCAATGGACCGTCATTGCTGTTGTGAATTATACCGCCATTTACCGCTTCATCATCTTCAAGAAAAGCCTTAGGTTTACTACTATGCATAAGATATGTAAATTTATTTGTGCTTTTGCTTTCATTCGTTTTATTAGATTCATCGAACCGGACTTTTGGCATATGGGCTTTGTTATATTCCCTGTTATGACTTTTTTCGACATATAAATTCGGATACAAATCACTTTTGTTCAATTCTAGATGTTGGGAGTTTGTTCTAAATCTATGGGAAGTTGAATTTCTTAATAAAACTCTACTTTTAGCTGTAGCATTAACACTAGCCCCATTTTCGTCATGATTGCCGTTTTTGATTTGCATATGAGAATTTTTAAGCTCTTTGTTGGGGCCATAACCATTATTTCGAGTCACAGAATTTGCTATCGTTTCTTTCGTCTCACCTTTTTGGTAGCGTTCCAAGCGAAGTGGTAGCTTTGTAAGACCAGTTGCAGCCGCTTTTGCTCTGATTTCCCATTGCTGTGAGGCATTTTCATTAAAGTCAAATTCGCTTACAACTCTTCGTATACCATCGGCACGATATATAGTATCCCAAATAAATTGCTTTGGAAGAGGATGAGATACATTAGGTCTATGTTTCAGGCCGAGCTTGGTTAATATCTGCCGTTTAATGGACTCCAGACGGACGCGATCGCTTAGCGTGTCATGTGCTGTAGGTATTTATTTAATTAACATAAATAACAATAAATCCAAAAAAAAATTAGTATATATGTATGAACGTGTATTTGTAAATCGTCGCATTGCGCGCAATACTTCGTGTCCGCCAAACACCCAGGGGCGGACCCGGCAGCAATTCTTGGGGGGGGGGGGGTAATTTTTCAACATATATCGTGTATATACACTGCCGGAACAAAGTATTGGCACAGCAAATTTTTCACAATATATGCAATAATTTTTATACTAATACTTTTCCGCCAATTTTATATAAAAACATGGTTCATTCAACAACAAAAAACATAAAAATATAATTCCTAAACTTTGTGCAAAACTCGCGAAAATTCAGCAAATTTCCATCAAAATTTTCAACTTTTTAATCAGATTTTTTAGAATTTTTTTGAGTATGCAGTTTTGCAGCCCATTAAATTCTAGTAAAAATGCAGATTCGGAGTTAGTCGAAAATCGCGTTGATTTTTGAGAATTTTTTTTGTTAAAGGTGTTTTGCATTTTTTCCATATAAAGTATTTTCGAAAAAAAAAATTTATGGAAGACACTGCGTGAAAAAAATTGCCAAAAATCAACCATAATTACTAGCTACTTCAAACTTGCACTTTATAATAAAATTGATTGGGCCACAAATCAGCATACTCGAAAAAATTCTAAAAAATCTGATTAAAAAGTTGAAAATTTTCATGAAAATTTGCTGAATTTTCGCGAGTTTTGCACAAAGTTTGGGAATTTTATTTTTATGTTTTTTTTTTGTTGTAGAATTAACCATATTTGTATACGGAATTAGCGGAAAAATAATAGAATGAAAATTGTTGCATATATTGTGAAAAATTTGCTGTGCCAATACTTTGTTCCGGCAGTGTAAATTTGAAAATCACCGCAATTTAAAATTTTTAGAGTTTTGATAGTTTTGAATTTCTTGAAGTTTCCCATCTTAAATAACTTGAGTGGAATTCCAAAATTTTCTAAACTTTCAAAACTTTGTGAATTTGAGAAATTTTAGTAAATCACAATAATTCAATGTAATGATGAATACTAGATTTCTAGAAATTTTTTAGTTTTCAAAAATTTTGAAAATTGTAGGAATTATACAAAATTTTTTCTAAGTAAAAGTGTCGAATATACAAAATTCATCAAACGAAATAAAAAGTTTTCGAATGTTGAAAATGTTTTCATATTTCGTCGTTTTTGCAAGTTTAAATAATTTTCGTGATTCTTGAAGATCCAAAAAATTTTTAGACGTTGATGTTTTCAAAATTTTCAAAAAATTTAAAATTCTCAAACTTTGTTATATCAATACAAAATTTTGGAAAAGTTCCGAAAAGCGGAAAAATTTTGGAATTTTTCAAAAATGTTAATATCTTTTAGAATTCTAAGAATTTTCTATTTTTTACACACAAGTACCATGAATTTTTCGACAATTTGTGATGTTTCACATTTTTACATTTTAGGATGGATTTTAGGATAAATAAAATTTTCAAAATTTTGGAAAATATAAAAATTTCTAAAATCTCAATAATTTTGTACATTTCAAAATATTCTCATTTTACCAAAATTTCTAGCATCTCCCGGATTTAGGTAGTTTTTGAAATTTTTTTTTTCCCCCAATATCCCCTACCTGGGTCCGCCACTGCAAACACCACATATAAAATTTAATAAAATATGCCTATAGAAAAGATTATGTAACAATTTTCACACATTCGGCCCAATTATGGTTTTTGACTTCGACGTCGATGTAATTTTTTCCTAAAAAAAATAGCCCTCGTAAGTTCAAGGTGTTCCTCGCAAAAATACTGTGGTCAGCGTAGCTGGAGTTGGACTTACGAGGGCTATTTTTTGATGAAAAAATTACATCGACGTCGAAGTCGACAATCATAATATCATGTCTCCAAAAAACTTGCAAAGTAGAGGAAACTGGAGGGCAATATGCAAGTTTTACTGGACAAATTTTAACTTGTAACAATTTTCAAGCAAGAAAAACAGCTGATTGTATGTTGCAGGCTGCAATTGAAACTAATAAAGGAATTATTTATGGGGGTCTTAGAGTGGAAATTGACCAAATAAATCTATTTAAATATATAAAAACCTGTTCATATATTAGGCGAATAAACAAGAAAATAATTAACTGCTTATGAAATTAGCAAATTGTTACTGGTTTTGCGTTCACGTACATTTTTGGATATTTTCCTGTTTAACCGTGGAAACACAATGCCGGCGAACGGCGAAATTCCCGCTGTCAAAATTAGAACACCCGCCGGTATATGAAATTGAACACAGCCAAAGCGAAATGCGAAGTTTGCTCGGCGGCGTTTCGTGGCGATAGATTTATTTCTATCACTCTGCTGGGCGATGGCGGCAGTACATGCCAAAGGTGGCCGTATGTTTTTTGTGCTTTCAAAGATTTAGAAGAAAACAACATATAACACGAATTATTTTTGTTGGTTGAACAATACAGTGATCGATTCGGTAAATCTGGCTTAAAATAAAATAATTTATAATAATTTCCCCTTTCCTTATATTTTTATTTGTTATCATTTCATTATTTCTAAATATGGTTTCGTTTTTCAAAATATGGTCACCTAAATTATAAATGCGACAAAATGGTATCAACTGTTTTCGCTACCGCTCTAATTCTGTTAAAGTACGCAAAATAGCAGGGGGAACGGTGAACGACGGCATCGCCCAATTCGGCGAACTTTGCCGTTCGCCGGGTATTGTGTTTCAAGCATAAGAGCGAATGTTGCCAAATTCTCGGAAATTTAATTACTGGCAAGTTACAACTTTTACATGAACAAACCGAATATCAAAAATTGGCTTTCTCAAACATTTTTTTATTATTCCTTCTACCTGAACTGTCTAAATGTGAGCTTATTATTATTCAGTCAACTTTATAGAGGTGGCTTACATTTTTTTCTATGCCACATCATACATAATATCTGTGTTCGTATGGAAAAGTAGCATATGTCGAAAGGCTGGCTTTAGTATAAATCGGCATTCGCAGCATACGGTTGCGAATGACTTACGGGCGCTAAGCCGTTAAACAACATTTAGCAAATAAACGTGCAAGAAATAGTTCCGATGCTAGCAAGTCAATATTCTTTTTAAGTCTCATCAAAAAATTCCTTGTCGTTTAAAAAATAAAGGGAATGCCGCATTATACTAAAGCCGGCCTTTCGACATAAGCTACTTTTCCATACGAACACAGATATGTACATGAGTGAAGCCACGTGAAGTTCACCATCCAAACATCGTTAAGTGACGTATTTTCGAAAAAAGTGTAAATTAATACTTTAAAGAAATTCATTTGTTCAAGTTATTGACTTAGATTCCAGCTCTTAAGAAAATTCATAAGAAGTATTTTTCATTATTTCTGTTGCTTGAAAAAGCACTTTGTTTTTGCTGCAAAAAATCGGTAATCGCTTTTAGAGGTAACGTATTCTGGAAGGCATAGCGTTATAATGCCTTCGAACTTTTTCGCTTCTTTCAGGCACTGCCGAATGCAAAGTAGAATGTCCTATAATATTTCTTTTTTAATTCGCTTCTTTGCTTCATTTCAGGGAATGCAAGGTAGAATGTCCTACAATATTTTATTTGTTTCACTTCTTTGCTTCATTTCAGTGAATGTAAAGTAGAATGTCCTACAATATTTTATTTGTTTCACTTCTTTGCTTCATTTCAGGGAATGCAAAGCAGAACGTCCTACAATATTTTTTTTTTTATTTCGCTTATTTGCTTAATTTGGGGGAATGCAAATTAGAATGCTGCATCGTAGTAAGCAGAAAAATAGAATGAATAACCAAAAATTCTTTTTCTATCGTTACTTTCTGTGGAAATTTGTCTCGCATAAAAATCATGTTTTGCTTTGTTCAATTTGCAGCGAAGTTGAAGTCAGTCAATGAAGTGAAGTACAAGAGTGAGGAAATACAATTATAAGCTTAATTAAATATGCAGGTACGTACATACCGATTTTTAAGTAAAATCTATGTACATACATACCTAAATACTTACATAGGTATGTATAAAAACTGATTTATAAAAATTTTAATTAATTTTAATCTTTTAAGACATTTTCTGATTTCAATTTAATATAAATAAGCATGTACTTATCTAGGTATTCTACATTAGTTTCTCTGTAAGGCATTATTTGTTCGCTTCTCTGGATTCTGTTTATCCATGCGTTCTCCCTTCGTTTGAGGATAATGCTGTGGGTAAGGGCTTCCGCCAATGACATGCCCATGTTAAAATAATGCCTTCTTGAAGCGAAAGGATAAGCTATTCCCATCGCCTAGCCCGTTTCCACTTTTGTTTCTCTGGTAATCGTGTTTTTTGCTGGGTAATCTTGAGAGCTCCAGACTAATTTAAAAAAATTTGCTAGAAGAAAATTTTTTTCCATTTATTGTGCGTAATTTTATATGACTTTTTCGTTTTTCTTCAGAGCTGTAAATAGCTCTTAAACTACAATAGATAGCGGTATGTAATTTGGTATTCTTATCAGAGTGTCCAGATTGGACGATTTAGCGCCAAATTGGCGAATTTTCTGGATGTTTGCGCTTAAGAATTTAAGAAATCGCCTTTGGCGATTTTGGATGATTTTTTCCTTCACATAAATTTTTTGTGCGCTACCATGCAAAATGTGTTCGTGAAAAGCCTGTTGTAGAGTTTGAACTTTAGTTTTGATGTGGCCAAAGTCTGCACTGTTGTACGCCAACCACGGTTAGAGCTTGTTTTCAACTAGGTTGTGTAAAACTTTCAACTTTTCTTCTCAGACACTGGGCTGTATGCATGCAAACGCTTTTTCTTAAAATTTCAGACCTTTTACTCGATATTTACACTTTTTGCTTTCTCTGTATGTATGTATGCATGTATGTTTGTTAGGGCCAAATCACGCAATCAATTTTTGACCAACTTTTCGATGACCTAGAGACTTGGAACTTCACAGTTGGATCGGCAGTTGCTTAGTTTTTTATGCATACGGCTATATATG